GACCCCATCTCCCCCCTTCCCCCAACTTATCGTAGTGCACTCAAGGATCCAAACTGGCATGCTGCTATGTGTGATGAGTATAATGCTTTGATTAAGAATGACACATGGGAATTAGTACCCCCCTCCCCCTCACAAAATATCATCACCGGTAAATGGCTCTTCAGACATAAACTTGGCCCCACAGGTGAGTTATCCAGGTATAAAGCCCGATGGGTGGTCCGTGGCTTCAATCAACGTTTCGGAGTTGACTACGACGAGACTTTCAGTCCTGTTATCAAGCCTGCCACTGTTCGAATCGTCCTTAGCCTTGCCCTGTCTCGGGGATGGCCCATCCACCAGCTCGATGTCAAAAACGCGTTCCTGCATGGCCACCTTCAGGAGAGAGTTTATGCCAGCCAGCCTTCGGGGTTTCAGGATGCCGCCAGACCTCACTATGTATGCCGCCAGACCTCACTATGTTTGCCGGCTTCATTCAGACCATTGGTTTCCACGGGTGCAAGGCTGACACGTCCCTTTTCATCTTCTCTCACACCACGGGCACATCATTCCTCCTCCTCTGTGTGGATGATATCGTCCTCACTGCCTCCTCAGCATCACTCCTTCAGAGTCTTATCCACCAGCTCAAGACTGAGTTTGCCATGACTGACATGGGGGACCTACATTTCTTCCTTGGCATTAATGTTCATCGGACGGCCACATGGCTCTTTCTTCATCAGACTCAGTTCATACATGACATACTTGAGTGTGCTGGAATGACTTCTTGTCGCCCTATCACCACTCCCGTAGATGCAAAGGCGAAGCTGTCCTCCTCCACGGGCACATTACTCTCAGATCCCTCCATCTACAGATCCATTGTGGGTGCTCTACAGTATCTCACCTTCACTCGTCCTGATATCACATATGCGGTTCAGCAGCTCTGCCTTCATCTCCACGCACCCCGCGACGCTCACCTCACGGCCATGAAGCGTGTTCTTTGATATATGAGCGGCACCACCACTCATGGCATCCATCTGACATCGTCCTCCACAGATTATCTCCAGGCCTACTCCGATGTTGATTGAGCCGGTTGCCCAGACACCAGACGTTCCACTTCAGGCTACTGCGTGTTTTTAGGGGATAATCTTGTTTCTTGGTCGTTCAAACGGCAGGCAACCACCTCGCGATCCAGTGCAGAAGCCGAGTACAGGGCTGTAGCCAATGCTGTGGCGGAAACTACTTGGGTGCGCAACCTCCTCCTTGAGTTGCAGCAACCCCTCCAGCGTGCCACTCTTGTCTTTTGTGACAATGTCAGTGTCGTCTATCTCTCAACCAATCCCGTACAGCACCAGCGCACCAAACATGTTGAGGTAGATATCCACTTCGTTCGTGACAAAGTGGCACTTGGGCACATTCGAGTTCTACATGTTTCTTCGTCCTCACAGTATGCCGACATATTCACCAAAGGACTCACTTCACTTCTCTTTCTTGACTTTCGAGACAGCCTGGGCATCAGACCGCTTCCACATCCGACGTAGCCGGAAGCATGTTAAATATATTATTTATATATTTAATATTATTGTATTATACTGTTACCATAACTGTATCACCTTCCTACTATGTCTCTCCTACCATAATTAGGATTGAGACTCCTAGTATATATTCACATGTAATCACCACAATTCATCAATGAAAATATTCTTTCTACACTTTTCACATTTAAAATATAAATTAAGAATTCATTTTTTTTGATGTTACAAATGCATTAAGACCCATAAAATGAATATAAACCTTATGTCCAACGAAGAATTAACCTAAATTAGAAGAATATTGAAAATATTGAAAAATATTGCTAAATGTATCTAAAAATAACTATATTCACATCTTTTTCTATATTTGCTAAATCAAACTAATAAAATAACTTTAACATTGGTGTATGTTTATCTAATTTAAGTGAAAGAGTTGGATAAAACTATTTTTAAGGTTGATTTTGCAAAACCCTAATTATTATTATACGATTAATTTATTTTACATTATTTAATGTTGCATATAATTTACTAATAATGATTATTATAATGTTATATATTACGGAGTACTAAATAATAGTAGTAGTAGTAATAATAATAATTATAATGTTTTGTGTGTTTATTAGAGCACATTCCGGGGTCCAATTCTAAAATTGATTGTTCATAACCCATAACTAGCAGCTATGCTTCTTATCTGGCGTTAGAGAGCAACGAGTCGGGGTCGGGTTCAGATTGAATTGCCATCCCTACTTGACGCGAGACTTCAACAAAAGAAACTGAAACAAAAAGTTCTATGAGAAGTGGGATGGTATAGCAATACGGAACATGACATCTAACATTTTCTTTGAGACTTCAACAAAAGTGTTCATTCATTTTCATGGGTAAATATGCATTGTGTTGCATCTTAAGAAGTACTCCATACAAAGCTACAAATAAAATGCCAAACACAGCTCAGAAGATGGTGCAGTTTGGTTAACCAAACAAAGCTGAAATTACACAATGTGATAAATGTACAAAATGACATTTTTTCCATTATACAAAAGCAATACATACCCTTTTTTTCTGGGCCAATGCCTTCAACACTATGGGCTTCCCTCTTCCTCCAGCTTCTTTACATGGGCCTGCAACACCATTACCAAGTTCCTAGCTGGGGCCTGCAGCGTCCCGACAACAGCAGAGGCTGGGCCTTTCAGAGAGCCCAGAAGCGTGGCGTAAACCTCGGCCCGTGAAGGCAACGTCTCCAGGGCCTTGAACTCATCAGGCCCATAGAACTTCCCCTCGAAAACCGCGCCCGTGAAGTCGTTCCCGTCCAGCTTCTGCTCCTTCTGGAAAGTCCGGTAGGGTTTCAGCGCCGCCGGGATTTCCTCGCCGTGAACGAAGAACCAGGCATTCATCCCAGTCATACACGGCTTCAAGGCCTCCCATGGAGTCCCTTCGATGGCCTTGAGCACCAGAGTGTTCTTCGCCACGATTACCTTGGTGGTCTCCGGGATCTGCGCCCGGAGTTGTTGAAATTGCCTCACCGTGAACCCTTTGTAACTGATCCCGGCGAGAAGGCGGCAATCCTGGAGCTCCTGCCTCACCGTTTCCACCGTCTCTTCTTTCTTCGTTCTGCTTATCGCTGACCGGACGGTAAAAGCTTGTCTCCGGGGAGTGGGTTTGAGAGTGCTGCAGAAATGGGATTTGTTTGAGAGAGGAAGAGGAGGATAGAATGTGGAGAGGATCGAAGCCTCCATGGATGAAGAAGAAGATTTGGGGATTTCTTCTCTCCGCTTATCTTTCCCCTTATCCTTTTCAATTTTTCGGTCCTTTTGGGTCGGGCCGTGGCTCCAACACTATGGCATGGAGCACCAAACTGTTTTTTTTCCTTCATGATTTAAAATAAAACTAGTATTTAACCCGTGCAACGCACGGGATCAAACGCATGTTATTTTTAACTCTGCTTATTTTTTATTTTAAATAAATAATTATAAAATAAAAGTAAATATAATATAGAATGTTAGATACGACATAAACAGAGTATGCTAACTAAAATTCATGTGTATAAAAATTGAAAAGAATGTACAAATCTATGAATTAAATCCAATTTTTTTGGAAAACTTTTGGGGTAAACCACATTTTTGGTACAATTGCAAGGATTACCGTTGTCATCTAAAACTAATACTTTCAATTCTCTCTTAATTTTCACGCGTGAAGCTGCAACATAAAGTTGATCGTGAGTGAATACCGATTTGGTCAAGAATAATCCAACAAATGATAATGTTTGGCCTGGACTCTTATTGAATGTCATGCCAAAACACAAAGGTACTGGAAATTGTCTTCTTTGAAACTTAAACGGTAATCTAGGATTTAAAGAATGTATTATTTGAGTTATTTTCCAAATTTACACTTGTGAGGCACAGGATAAAAATAATTTTATGGAAATATAAAATTATGAACATAAAAAAATATTTAAAGAATGTATTATTTGAGTTATTTTCCAAATTTATACTTGCGAGGCACGGATAAATTTTATGGACATAAAAAAATATTTTATTACTAACTTATTGACTTCCCAATCAAAATTCACATCAATGTTAATAATGATAAATTGCAAGTACTCCGTATTAGGTTATACATAATATTATTAAAGCCTAGAAAGAAAAGAAATAAATTTTATATTCCCATAATAGAAAAATGTGTTTGAAACAATCCTACTCGTAAGAACTAAAACCAACTGGTTAATGAAAAAACTTGTTGGTCATTTTGTGAATGGTGTAGTTCATGACATTCCACTAACACAATTAAATTAAACCTTAGTTGCCCAAGTAAAGTCATATTTCAACATTATCATGTCTTATACATTTTGTATTAAAATGATTCCACAATTAAAATAAACCCATGGAAAGAAATACAAAGAGGGAATCTTTGACATGGTATATATGATATAGACCTGCATTAAATAAGAGGTTATCAAATATTGGATTTTTTTTAATTTATATTGTCATTCTTGCTAATAAGAACTATGTGATCTCCATATGACCATGATCTACTCTCTAAGTGCAATGAAGTGCTACCCTTACCATATAAAATGGTGTCACCGTATAAACTATAATAATAAATTAAAGGAAGAAATGATTTCGTTGCGGAGAAAATTTTAAAAAATACATGACCCTTTAAAAAATATATGACCCTTTAAAAAAAATACATGACTCTGAGTTTCATGTGTGAATAATACAGTACATTATTTTTGATATTGCTTTTGAGATTACAATTATTTAGAATATCTATGCACAGAATCTCTAGAGGATGTCATCATTTATGAATCTCCAATAGTTATCTAGAATGAAGAATGGACCATCACCTCTAGAACACAACATTTAACTCGAGTGTAGTGGATAAAGCAAATGCCTATGCTATATTCACCAAATTCTCCTTCATTTCAATAGAGATTGCCTCCAAATGAACATTACATCAGAATACATTGGCTTTGAGCCCATAACAATTATCTCAAATTGTGCAGCCACAAAACAAATAGTACGACATGGCTGTAACTTCAACAGCCAAATGAACATTATGACAATATCACCAACAGTCACTTGAACAACAACCTTTGCTTCAACAACAGCAACAACAGTCTGGCCACAAATTCTTTATGAAATCCAACTATAATCTTTTCTGCATATGGCAGCCCCTACATGCATAAAATCTTTTAAAAAAATAAAAAATACATTACCCTTTAAAAAAGTTAAATATCTGCAACGATTTAGCAAGAACAAATCGATATTATCATAATGCATAAGTATTATGAATTGACATATCATCAAGGAAACAATACGCTAATGATACAATATGACAATTGAGAAGCTACTAACTTGACAGATCCATTGGAACACCACTCTCAATAAAAATGAGCAAGATTTTATCATCTCGTTCTCTTAGACCGCTACCAACAATGAGGTTTTTTTGCTCATGTGTAAAAATTTTGGATGCCACCAGTAAGATTTTGCCCATTTCCTCACATATTTTTTTCCACTCTCTGTGTGGAAATTCTTTTAGCTTCCACACCATTAGAAAATTTTAGACCCCACCCTATACCCACACCAACTATATTTTTTAAAAGAATTTTTAGGTTTATACATACATACATATATACATACATACATATATATACCAATGGTCATAAAATTTTATGCACTACAAATAGACACCCATTTATCTTTATCAAATATACCAAATCCAGTAGCTCTTTTTACAAAGTTTTATCAGGACCAAGACAATGATATTCATAGAGGTTAATAATTATATTGGGTTTCAATATACTTAGTACCAAAAATATGATAAAGCTTCATGAAGGTAAGTAATTATATGGGTTTCTATGATACCTCATATGATTTTGGAGAATAAGTGAAAAGACATGCATATATAGCACCCAACCCTACATCTTTTTCTTTAATATGTTCATTAGGTGAGGTGACATCTCCAACCAACTAACATATTTACAGAAAAAATATGAAGTATTATACTTTACATAACTGACTAAATGTATATTGAACTCAAGGTGTATATATAATAGTTCTTAGTCCGAATAAAAATATCTAATCGAAAATAACAAATAGTCCAAGTGAAACATGTGTACGAAGCATAATAAAAGAGAACAAAACATTGTAATTGAATCTAAAACTTTTGTATTAGAATCATTCACTCCTTGAGAAGTTCAGATTTTAAAAATCAACAACAAAAACAACAACAACCTAGTTGAGTCTCACTACAGTAGGATCTCGGGAGGGTGTGAGTAGGGGTGAGCATCGGTTCGGTTTGGTCGGTTTCGGGTCAAAACCGAACTAACCAAAACTTTTTTGGTTACAAAAAAACCGACCGAAACCGAACCGGTGAATTTGAATAGCCGACAAACCGAAACCGATTAAACCGAATTGGGTTCGGTCGGTTACTAAAAACCGAATTGCACAGCACCCAAAACAAAAAATTATAACTGTGAACCTTCATGGTAAAAGATAATTAGCGAATGAATGAAGAACAATTTCGTAGCAATTCGCATATGGGAAACCAAAAAAACATTGAAGTCAATTGAGGTAGACGAGAGTGGGGGCGTGGGGCTTCTTTCTCCATATCAACATATTGTAATTATGAATAAATTAAAGGCCAAAGAATAGTTATAAAAATTCAGCCCATTTTGCAAAAGAGAAGACAGCAAAACCTTACTCTATTGGTCAACAAAGAAGAAGGGAAGAACAAAGAGTCAAAGAGGATCCGCAGCGTCGTCTTAGACTCTCAAATTAAAGAAGAAGGCAGAATCGGCAGAATCGCAGAAGCTTGGACTCTCAATCGGAATTGCAGAAGGATGAAGCTTCGAGAATCGGGATAAGGCGGAGTAACGACCCCAAAATTAGAAATCCCAAATCCCAATCGCATGGTGAGGAGTAGTGGAGTACGCCGTCAACTCCCAATTGGTTTTACTCCGTAGTATTTTAGATAATGGAGTGGGCTGACTGTTATTGTGCTAACTTCTTTTTGGGACTTAAAAAATTCATATTTTTGAGTAGTAAACATATATGCCGGTTTAGGCCCCCGTTCCGTTCAACTTATTTTTTCTTATTCTTATTAAAATCAGATCAGATCAGATCAGATCCAATCAGATCAAATCAGATCCAATCAGATCAGATCAGATCCAATCAGATCAGATCAGATCAGATCAGGACTTATTAAAATCAGATCTCATCAAGAATTATTATTATTATTATTATTATTATCATCATCATCATCATCATCATCATCATCATCATCATCATCATCATTATTGTTCTTAAAAATGAAAAAGAATAAACTTTAGAAATATGTTAAATAGAAAACTGAGAAAGTAATCTTTAATTATTAGACGTCAGAAAAATTAGTTTTAAAATACATTGACAATGTCAATCTAATATACTTTTAAAATATATTTTTATTGCTACTTGTAATTTGAGTTTCTAAACTTTTGATCTTTTATAAGGATGAGATATTTTAATAAAAATACTATCTCTTCTATATATTGATTATCTAAATTTAATTACTTTTTAATGTATATCTAAATTAAATATTTATTATAATGTATAATTCTAATTTTACAAAAAAATTA